AGCCAGAATCAAAGAGGCATTAAATAGATGATTTCTGCCAAATGTTGCAGTCAGAAATCTATTAAACATGTAACCAAGATGCATCAATAATACTGGGTGACTGGAATGCAAAGTTGGCAATGAGGAAGAAGGATCACTAGTCAGAAAATATAGACTTAGTGACAGAAATGAGTGTGGGGATAGAATGATAGAATTCTGCATAATGATTTATTCACTGCAAATACCTTTTATAAGAAACATAAATACAGGCTATACACATGGATTTCACCTGATGGTAGGCACAGAAATCAGATCGATTACATCTGTGGAAGGAATCATTGGGAAAAGTTCAATATTAGCAGTGAAATCTAGGCCAGGATCTGCTTGTGGAACAGACCAACAACTGATCATATGCAATTTCAAATTAAAGCGAAAGAAGGTTAAATCATATCCCCAGGAATCAAAAATTAAATTTTGAGTTTATCCCCTTGAATTTAATTACCAACTCCGGAATAGGTTTCAGATCTTGAACACTAATGAATGAAGACTAGATGAGCTGAGGGAAGATAGCAAGAATATCATTCGGGAAGAATGCAACATCCGGAAGTCATACCTTTTGCAAATCAGCAATAGCCTGCTTCAGCTTCTTGGCATAGTCATAACGCTCCTTTTGGACAGCATCTCGTTTCCTTTCATCTAACTTGCGTATAATCTGTGCGACTTCAGGATCTTGGTACATGTCAAAAGCTAGGTCATCTAGCGGAGAAATGTAGTCAGGTTTCCTGGAGGGGAGAAATGCATATTCAGAGCAAATCTTTAACTGTGTGACCTTACAGTGGCAGGGGAGCCCCTGTGCGCTCAGCCTGAGGTCATGCAGGTGTCAGGGAAGGCTGTCCCCACCAGCTGAGCACTTCCTTTGTGGGAAAGCAGAGAGTACAGGAAGGAGTCAAATGCTTCAGGTCACACAGCTGTTATGTGCTAGCAGGTTTTTCCTGGTTCCAAAGCCCATGCTCTTAGCCAGTAATCACAATGCATGTCAGAGAATCTCAGCGTTTGGTGCCTTCATTCATTCACTCACTCACTCATTCCACAGAGATTCAGCGAGTGCGCTCTGTGCCAAGCTTTGTCCTTGGCAACGGGGCTGTGACAGTGGCTGTGTGCTGCTCGTAGAACTGGGGAAAAAACTCACAGAACAAAGCAAATGAGTGACCAGCTCCATCTTAGGGGGGGGGGGTCTGAGGCAGGTCCAGGCCCCCATGCTTTATCAGAGCAGCACAGTAACTGTAAGGAATGAGAAAGGCTAACAAAGGCCACTCTTGTGCCAGCCCCTCAGTGTTCACTTCTTTTTTTTTCCAGTGTTCACTTCTATCAACCATTGAGTCCTGTAGGGGACCAGAAGCATGCTCTCAAAAAGAAATGCATGTGGGAGCTCTGGTGGCCTAATGGGAAGAAGCTGTGATGTAATCCCGAAGGCGCCAGGTTTGAATTCACCAGATGCTCCACTGAAGGAGGGGCAATCCCCTCCTATACCAGTTGGATCTGATTCGACAGTACACAACAATAATTTTTTAAAAAAATGCATTGTTCCAGTCACTTGAATAACCTGTTCCTGATTAAGTATGGTCTCCGGTCTTCCTTTCAAATGCTAAAGCAGGACACTCACCAGCTTGCTTTCAGTTCTAATGCTGGGAACAATGTCAGCTTACTTCTCAACAAAAACTTGTTTGACTTCCTGAGGCCAAATTTCAAAATATCTTAGTTTGTTTGCTGTCTCAATTACATTAAGTCATTTGTTTAGCTAATGAACACATTTTCGTGGAAAAAATTTTTACTTTTGTATAAGAATTATACAAAATTTTGTATAAAAATTAAAATAGTTGGGTGAGCTCTGGTGGCCTATTGGCAAGAAGCTGCACTGCAATCCCAGAGGTGTGTGGTTTGAATCCATCAGATGTTCTGCTGGAAGAGGAGGGACAATCTCCTCCTGTACCAGGCAGATCCAATCTGATGGCACACAAACACACACACATGAATTAATTTAGCTGGTAAATTTGCACAATGTTATGTGCCATGGTGTCAGAACCAACTCAAAGCTGACCTTCAAGCAGGTGTTCAGTGGCAGTAAATCACATGGGAGGAGACTGCCCATCCTTCTCCCACACAGAATGTGGCAGATTTGAACCACATGCCTTTGGGATTGTAAGCACAGCTTCTTACTGCCAGGCCACAAGAACTCACCAAATTGTACAACAGTACATCCAAACAGAACCTGGGACTGAGTCACATTCCAGGAAGACCCGGTATCCCTGGTAGTCCCTTTGTGGGACTCCCAGAGCTGGGCTGTAGCAGCCGCTGGACAGGAGGCCAGGATTGTGTCAGAAGTTTAACAATATCCTCTAACCTCAGGATGCCGGAGCAGCAATACAATGTAGGGTGTCTACAGAGTCACATAATTTTAGCTAAACACCAAGTTCTTGGCTGTGAAGTCCTAGTAATGAAATCAAGGCCTTCAATTGACTTTGTAAATTTTACAAAAGAAAAACTAGGGTGTCCAGTAAGTACCCTAGAAAGAATTCCAGAGCAATGCAATCGACTTTCGCTCAGAGTGCCCTCTAGTGGTAAGTAACCGAGTTTCATGTAGACTAAATCCAGCAATCTCTCATTACCGTGTGGATGGAAATCAACCCAGCTGACTGTCTAGTGGGCTTGCAAGACTGTAAATCGCACAGGAGGATATCATTTTTCTTTATTCTGCAGAGTTAGCAGAACAATTCCGGACGGACATCAGTGCATCCTAATACAGCACACACGGCGAAACACTATCTGTTTTGGCAAAAAGAAGAACCTGGCACCAGGACACATTATGTACCGTCCGTCAGCAGTTTGCGGGTAGGTGAGAGTGAGGTGGTACCAGAGTTGTAGGCAACTGCAAATGCCTACGATAAGTTAAGCATCTTCTCTTGTGTTTACTGTCATGAGGACTACGGTGCTGTTTTGAATGCTTTTATTTAGATCAGGCACCTTTGGAAGGAGGATCCTTACCTGTGTCAACTGTTTTCAAAGCAGGGAGCCCACTGACAGGGTGCTGAGGAAGCTGCCTGTTCTGAGGAGGGGCTCTCGGAGGAGGGGGTGCAGCAGAGTGAGTGAAAAACACAGGGCACCCGGTCTGTGTCCCCCACTCACGATCTGTCTGGTATCTTTAAAGAAAGGAGTCTGTCAAACTGCCAATATCAAAAAGACTTTTGGTTGATAGATTTTTCTTCCAAACACATTTTAAGAATCTTCTAGTAGTCTGAATAATACAAGAAATGAGTCTCTGAAGGTTAATAAATGAAAGTGCACTAAATGAAACCATGATCTTAATTTGTAGGTATATTTAAGATACTCCAATCAGTGGCTTATCAAGCTCTAAACTGAATTTGGGGGCCTTCAACCTGGGGTCCTTTGGAAATAACTCCACTTTTTTTAAAAAATTATTAATTTCAATGAAAATTTACAGACACTTTTGATTTCCATTCATTCATTGCTGCACTATAACTCCACTTTTGTGATTCTAAGAAAAGCTGCCTAAACCCATTTTCTGGGCAGAGGCCATCTTCTTACCCAGTATACGTGCCATCCAGAGCCGGGTCATCGGCACTGTGCCCCAGGTAGTGGTCAATCAGCTTCTCTCTAGAAGTCTATGGGAGCAAAAGAATTCTTAGCATTTCAGGAAAAAAAACCCAACAATGCAAAAAACGCTTCACTAAAACATTATAAAGATCAAGATGGAAGGAGTGGGAGTAGAGGGGTGAGGGAGGGTGCGAGAAAATCACAGGGTCACACAATTTGGTGGGTAGAGGGAGGGGGTAAAGGAAATGGGAAAGATTTGGTGGGGACCTGAAAATGTAATGGTAGTAATGGTGGGCATACTTCAATGGTGATTAATTTTGTAAAACACAATGTCTGCCCATGATTGTATAAAATACAATGTCAATGAAGGAAAAATGTGAGACACAATGTATACAAATTTTGTATACAAACTACTATAAAATGAAAAAATTAAAAAGATGTTAAGGAGCTTCAATGATTTTAGTTTCTCAGAAACATGGCCAAAGTTCTTGGGTAAAAGAGAAGTTTTGTGTGGTCGCTGCTGCTAGAAAGTACTTGATAATTACTCAGCAGTCAATTTTGTAAAGAGTTTGAAGATAGTACATTTTGTGATTTTAAAAAATATCATCTACCAAAGAATTTTTCTTTTCAAAGAGGTAAGGGGAGGGGTCGGGGGAAGGGAGGGCTGGGCAGGGAGAAAAGTGCAACAATGAATGAAATCCAAAATCTCTGTAAATGTTCATTAAAATTATTAAAATAAAAAATAAAATTAAAAAAATATCATCTCCTAATAAAAATGCTTTCTTCTCTAGGACTTAGACTTCTAAAACTTACAATATTGCTTTCATCACAGAAATCAGCAGGGTCTCCAATGATATTTACCGCGACCAGAGCAACCTAAGAAAGAGTTAAATGAACTTCTTCATCCACAGAAATGAAATGTAAAGTGGCAAAGTATAACTGTTACACTATCAAGTGGGATAACACACATTAACATGCATTCATTATAAATGTTATAAATGAAGTTTACCAAGCGTACCACTGTCTAATTAATTTCAAACATGACAACCACCCACTGGTTTCCAAGGCTACATATGGTAATAGCAGACAGCCTTGTCTGCTGCCTCCCACAGCATGGCTAGTGGATTTGAACCATCATTTATTAAGCAGCTCAACACATACCCCCCCCTCCCCCACCACCTGGGTCCCTTTTGCAGTGCACAGAATAAATGATATACTATAATGATGCTAAACCAAGTGGTTACTTTTAACTGTCTGAAAGATCCTAAAACAAGGGTTAAACAAAACTAAACCCACAAAACTCCCAAGTTGTAAACTAACTTCCTACCAAGCCATCCATTCAAGGTCAGTTATGAAAGTCATGTCTATACGGTCTTGCCGTATCAGAGACTGAAATACGAACTAACATAAACCACTGGTGCTGACTTGGTTCTAGCTCATGACAGCATCTCCTGGGTTTCCAAGGTGACTGGACATGTCTATGGGAGGAGATTGTCTTCCTCCTGAGCTAAAGCTGGTGGATTCAAACTGTCAAACCTGGCAGTTAGTGACAAATGAACACAGCTCAGTAGTTTGTGTAAGTCAGTGGTTCTCCCCTGAGGAGTTGTCATTTTCCTACAGCCATGCTCCTCCTGGCTCCCTGTGAACACAGCCTATCATGATAACCGGTGTGGGTACTGGAAGATCAGTGTTAACATATGCAATTAGGACAATGGACAAGGTTAAGAATTGTCTCCTAGCTTCCTGCCAAGGAATCCTGCTATATATTAAGACCAAGCCACATGATCCTATCATACATCCTTGTTATACACTGAATTGTGTGTTGTAAACTCCAACCTCTAGGCCTGTGGTTATATCCCCTTTTGGAAAAAGCACCCTTTGGCGTAGTAGTGCACTATGTATTGGGCTTCTAGCTGACAGGCTCACTTCCACTGGGTGCTCTGTGACAGAGAGATGGGCAGTCTCCTCCTGACAAGATTTACTGTCTCAGCAAACTGACGTCGGGTCACCGTGACCTGGACTGGACTTGACTGATAGTGGTTACCTTCGTGAAGCTGATGAGGGAGGATCTGTGTCAGACGTCCTGATTGAATCTCTCTGAGATATAAGGGATTAAAGAAGCAATGGAGAGAGGAGGATGAGGTAGGACTCATGGAGATCACAAGAAACCAGTAAGGAGAAGCTGAAGAGCAAAGACTTGTTTCCAGAGCTGACAGAGAAAGCTTTCCACTGCAGCTGGCACTCTGAATTAGGATTTCTAGTTTGCTAAACTGTGAAGGAAAAACAAAAAAGAATTTTCCTCTGGAATTCTATCAGAAAACAAAACAGAATTTGGTACTAGGAGCAGGGTGGCACTGTTAAGTGGAAACTGTTTGGGAATTGGGTAATGGGTAGAGACTGAAAGAATTTTAAAATGCTTAATAGTTGTGGATTTTGCAATTACTTGCTGTGCATCAGAGATCTGGACAATGATTATAGATGACTGTAGAAGAATTGATGCTTTTGAGTTGTTTGCGGTGCTGAAAAAGAGTTTTCAACGTACCATGGACTGCCAAGAAAACAAACAGATCTTTTTTGGTGAGGGTGAAACCAAGTTTCTCCTTGGAGGTTAGGATTGAGAAGCTCTGTCTTACGTACCTTGGGCACGTGGCCAGGAGAGAACAGTCCCTGGAGAAGAACATCATGCTCAGAAGGTTGGAGGGATAGTGCAGGAGAGGAAGACCCTGGATGAGATGGATTTATACAGTAACTGGGGCAATTGGGGGAGTTATGTTGGAATCAGTAAAACTGGCTCAGGACAGGGCAGGCTTCAGAGCTGCTGCATATAGGGTCGCTATGAGTCGCAGGAGACTCAACACAACAGGTATGTCAGAGATGGTGAGATTGGCTCAGGAAAGAGTAGAGTTCAGAGCCATTGTACATAGGGTCACTGAGTCGCAAGTGACTCAAGGGCACCTAACAACAACAACAAATAAGAGTTCAGAGCTATTGTGTATATGGTCACTGCATCGCAGGCAACTCAACAGCAAAAAACAACAATAGCAATAGTAAAAGGCAAGGATGCCTTGAAGATAGTGTTGATAGAGTTATGACTGTCAAAGGCAAGTCTGGTGAAGGCTCAGAAATAAGTGAGAAGAGCCACAGAGAAAGTCGATCATCTTAGAGAATACATAAGGCGCCAGTAGCAGAATGTTGCTAGAAATGTAAACACTAAATGGGCTTTTAGTGAGGCTTTAAAAGAAAATGAGCACGTGATTAGACAGAAGAGGAAGGGTGATGCTTTTTAAGTTGTGGCAGAAAACATGTCTGAGTCAAGTTCATATGTTTGGTGGAAGGTAGAACTTGCATGTAATGAACCTGTGTATCTGGCTGATGAGAAAACAAGATCGTAAAGGTCCACATGGTTTTTCCTTGCAGTTTAAAGTGAAACAGGAGAAAAAAAGAGATGGACTTAAAAATTAACATAAGAATATCCTGAGTGTCTTGTTAAAATGTAGATTCTGATTCAATTCATCTGTAGTGGAAATGTAAATCCTCATCAAGGGAACAAACTGGAACAAACTGGTTCAAAGTCCTGGTAGCCACTACAGCAATCATAAAAAAAAAGAAAAAGAGGCAAGAAATGGAGAAAGAAGAGGAGGAGAATGGAGTAACAAAAGAGTAACTGGGATCTGGAGGATTCTGGGTTGCACATGACATTATACGTGGTTCTAATTTCCACCAGATTTGCCTTGTAAAAATTTAAGAGGGTTCATCTGGGACAATGCTGCCCAAGAGAAATATACTGTGAACCACCTATAAGGGTGAGCCAATTGAATGTGGAAATTATTGAACAATATCACTGATATCACATGTAAGCAAAATACCATTGAAGAGCATTAAAAAAACAGCTGGAACATGACATAGATCAGGAACTGCAAGAAGCTCAAGCAGGATTTAGAAGAGGCTGTGGCACCAGGGATATCAGTGCTGATGTCTGATGGATCCTGGCTGAAAGTAAGAATACCAGAAGAATGTGTAATCGTGCTTTATTGACTATGCAAAGGTGTCTGACTGTGTGGATCATGACAAGTTGTGGCTGACATTAAGAAGGATGGGAATCCCAGAGCACATGTTTGTGCTCATGCGGAACCTATACCTGGACCAGGAGGCTGTTGTGTGAACAGAACAGGGAAGCACTGCATGGTTTGGAACTGGGAAGGGAGTGCATCAAGGTTGTATTCTCTTTCCATATCTGTTCAACCTAAAGGCTGAGCAAATTATCCAAGAAGCGGGACTCTGTGAAGAAGAATGTGGCATCAGGACTGGAGGGAGACTCATCAATAACGTACGTTATGCAGATGACACAATCTTGCATGCTGAAAGTGAGGAGGACTTGAGGTGCTTGTTGCAGAGGTCAAGGAATGCAGCCTTCTGTATGGATTGCGTCTCAATATCAAGAAAACAAAGATTCTTACCACTGGACCAACAGGCAGTGTCATGATGGATGGAGAGGCGATTGAAAATGTCAACAGCTTCAGCTTGGTTGGATCCACAATTAACACCCTTGGTACCAGCACTAAGACAATAAGGAGATGATTGCACTGGGAAAATCTGTAGTTAGGGACCTCGCCAAATTAAGTGACGTCAGTTTGAGGACTAAGGTGTGTCTGATTCAGGCCATGGTGTTCTGATTACTAGCTATGCATCCAAGAGCTGGATAATGAATAAGGATAACATAAAAAGAATTGATGGCTTTGAGCTGTGGTGTTGGAGAAGAGCACTGAATATTCCATGGACGGTCAAGAGAAAGAACAGATATGTCTTGGAGAGGGTGCAGCCAGAGTGCTCTTTGGAGGCAACGATGAGGCTTTATCTCACATACTTTGGGCATATTGCTAGAAGGGGCTATTCCTTGGAGAAGGACATGATGCTGGGAAGGGTGCAGGGTCTGTGAAGGAGAGGAAGACCGTCGACCAGGTGGATTGACAGGATGACTGTTGCAATGGGCTCTTTTATGTCAGGAAGTTGAGGATGGTGCTAGATAGAAGAGGGATCAGATCTTTTGTTCATAGAGTCACTATGAGTCATACTCGACTCGATGGCACCTAACAACAACAGGAGGCACATTAAAGTTAAAAAGAAACAGGTGAAAATCATTTTATTTGGAACACACAGCAACTTGACACTTATTTCCATATTCAGTCTTTGAAAGTCTTTAACACTGCCAGTACCCTCACCAGTACAGCCACACTGCCAGTAGACAACATCCACATGTGATCAGTGGCTGCTGCATCAGTGAGCAGATTCAGAGCGGAACATTCTTCTAGAAAAATACATTTTTTCCAAAGGAAAAAGTTTGGAAATCATTTAAGAAAAGATGTATGACCTTTGTTAACATGGATGTATGCTGATGAACAACACAGTCATAGATAGAGGCTTGGAGGCCAGAGTGAGTTGCATTCATCTTACCTGATTATAGATGTTGTATTTATTGATATGGTTTTGGTGAAAGATCAGTTTTAGAAACTGCCCAACTGCATCCACATACACGGATTTCAGCTCCCGGGCTTTGCAGCCAGTTTTTGCGTTATCACACAGGGAGACGTAACTGGGAGAAAGAGACCCAACAGAGAACTGTGTTCATGGGAACGTGTACAGATACACAAAGCCACTTCTGCTCATTCAGTTTAAGGAACAGTTTTAGACTAAAACAAAATTAAAAAAATAGAAAGGAAAAAAGCCTTAGAAGTCACTCCAATTTGCTTTAAGGAGTGTTCCTTTATCTGTAAAGCAGTTGACCACCACTGATAAAAATGGTAAGTCTATTCAGTAGGAGTCAGGCATTTTAAAACTGCAGAATCTTGAACCAAATAGTATGTAATAAGACCCAAAGATGGGGGTAATCTATTAGTTTTAATTAGTTGGAAGAGCATTAGCCTGGCTAAATGTCACAGCAAATACTCAATTTCATTCTTACCCGAGTCTTCGAAAGCGTTCTGCTTGATAGGGCACAAAATATTCAGGCAAGCTTTCACTAATGTAGAACTCAATTTTACTTGAAATCATATACTGGTGAGCGAGCAACTGCAGTTTTCTTATTCGACATCTCTCTACCATTTGAAGAACAATTTCTTGTGGAAACTGGCAAAATCTGAAAGCAAATACAATTTTGTTTGTTTCTTAACAATTACTACAGAGGGCTTCTGGGTGCTAGTGTTCCATTTTTCCATGCAGTAAGCATTTCCCCAGGGCCTGCTGTAAACATGTGTAGGTGCTGAAGCTACAAAGATGATGAAGACATTACTCCTAGCTGCGCCATTTTCCCTGCTCTTTCAGCATGGTTTGAGCGAGGCCCGGATTCGAATCTGAAATAAATTCCCTCTTGCCCTTGCATCGGTGTC